TACATTATCCCTCTTAGTAGTTTTTTTTTGTCTGTTCTACTTAATATGACTGGTTTAATTCTGTAATTAATACACAGTTATTTTTAAGTGTTGAAACTTAACTGAAATGTGATCCCTGTTAAACAAAAATGAATATTTTAAAAAATATTTCAACTCCTCACTAAATTCATCTTCATGTAGATATATAATTCAATACCAATATAACTTAATAATTATAAAGCCACCTCATAAGAATATCAAGGTTATTTGAGCGGACTGCAAAAATTTGTGGTACAATAAAATGAAAACGTGAGTTTATTTTGGTCAAAAATCTTTCAAATATTTGATATTCATACATTTATGAGTATATAATCTCTATAAATAAAATGAAAATATAACTCCTTTGGGCACATGGCAAATTTTAGGGGAATCCTTGATGAAATGGAAAAGGAGGTGTCAATGATAAGAAAATATTGGTGTAGACAGATAATGCAGCTTCCCAAGCGACCCCTAGAATTGAATCCTGGCATTTTGACTACTATGATCTTTCTACTCAACCTGCTGCTTACCCATGATGTGCAAAATTCTTTTAAAAGTCTATTTCCTAAGCAATGGAAAAAGAAGTCTTCAGGACTGGACTGACCCACTATTACCTGAGTCCTGGAAGGTCAAAGCCCTGGACCTGGTGGGGAGCAACTCGGACTAGACTGTTACTGGAATTAAGACTTATTCTATGCATCTGCTCTCCCACAATATGGCGCTGGGAGAGGAGGAAACAGCTTCTACTCAGCTGCCTCCAGTTCAACCAATAAACAGCAGGACCTGCTCCTGATTGGAGGAGAGCAGTGTACTTGGCATGTGGGTAGCAGAGTTGGGATTGGTGGAAGAGGACTATAAAGGAGGAGAGAGACAACATGCACCAGGAACATCTATCTGAAGGAACACCTGTGCAGCCCCCGAGAGAGCCAGCCGGTGGTGTGCCGCTCCCCCGCGGAAGTGGGGAAAGTGGCAGGGGGAACCGCCCTTCCACGGAGGTGGAAGGGACGGTAGCCAACCCAGAAAGAACCAGCAGCAAACCCGGGGAGGGCCGAGCAGACAAAAGAACTGCGCAGGGTCCTGTGTCGCTCCTCCACCAAGAGGGGGAGCGACATAATGGTGCCGTGACTCGGATATGAAGCCTAGGCAGGGTTTAGTGTCACTCCTCCACGAAGAGGGGGAGCGACAGACCTGCACTTGGAACTGCTGGCTTTCCTTGACAACAGTGGTACTGGGCCCAGTTCTCCCATCTTCATAACAATCAAGAATGTATTTTATAAGAACAAAGTAAAATTCTGGTTATGATTCTCCCCCTTGCAGTTCCAAAAGTGGGTGAAAGTATTGTGCATCCACAAGCTTTCAAGGCAGAAATAGCACTGTCTTCCATCTCTACCCAGAACAGAAGACTGATTCCACCTCCTGCAATCCAGAAGCACATCTCCACGCTATGGGTGGGAGTGTGGGTGAGGGGACAGAAGTCTGATCACTATCAAGTTAATCCCTTGTGTCCCTGAAGGCACTTGTCTGCCAAAGTAACAAGTAAAGATTCTCCAAAGGATGATACACACTGGAAATATGCATACCTTAGAAAACTATGAGGTATATTAAAGGAGGCTGAGACAAGCAGAAATCTTATTCTTTTTTTTACAGGCAGAGTGAACAGTGAGAGAGAGAGACAGAGAGAAAGGTCTTCCTTTACCATTGGTTCACCCTCCAATGGCCGCCACGGCCAGCGCACTGCGGCCGGCGCACTGTGCTGATCCAAAGCCAGGAGCCAGGTGCTTCTCCTGGTCTCCCATGGGGTGCAGGGCCCAAGCACTTGGGCCATCCTCCACTGCACTCCTGGGCCATAGCAGAGAGCTGGCCTGGAAGAGGGGCAACCGGGACAGATTCCGGCGCCCCAACTGGGACTAGAACCCAGTGTGCCAGCGTCGCAGGTGGAGGATTAGCCTAGTGAGCCGCGGCGCCGGCCACAAGCAGAAATTTTCAACATGAAGGGAGAGAAATTTATGAAAGCAGAATCACTGAGGTGAAAGACCTACCAGGAGGATTCACAAGCTGTCCAAGTGTCTGAGTCTTACCCATGAAGTTTGCATGGAGGAGAGAACACAAAGCAGAGTCCACAAAAATTCAGATGCAAGACTGAGAAGTCTGAGGTTCATGATGAAAATGGAACAAGGGTACCTAGGGTGAAACGGCTCATTACCCAGAGAGGCTGTAATGTAGACACCCTTGCTTGCCACTTGTCACATGAGCCGAAAGGCAGGCAGCACTCAGCATACCTTTTAAAGGAAGAGGTACATGTGGCAAAATGGAATTTGAAAAGCGCCACCAGTCTAGAGCATCCTAGAATCATCCTGGACACTGAACAAATAGTGGCCATTAATCTACCCTCCAAGCATCATCTCATTAATCCCATTCAGATTTCAAGGCAACACGTTTCATTACTTTGGTTCAACTGGACATGGGTAAGACTCAGCCTCCGTAACAGGGTTTAACTGAGTTCCTGCCTTGCTGACACTGTGGTGAGAGAGTTATTTTGGAAAATATTTCATTTGAAATTTATATCTATAGGAAAATCACAGTAGCTCTACTATAAACTCCTGTAAGCCCCTTGCCCTGTTTACATGATTAACTGACATATGCCCCTTCAATATAGGGCAGATAGCCTCAAAATACAACACTCTCTTCAATAATCAAACCCTGTAATCTAAACATCATCATTTCAACACACATTCAACTGATGGTCCCAGAAAAATTCTATCAGCTGAGCCAACGCTTCCCTCCCAACTGGTCCTCTTCCCTTTAGTCTGGAACATATCTCAAGCTTCTCCCTCACTTTCTTGCCCTTCACAGGTTAACAAGCTCATATGATTCAAACCCAGATCTGCCCAATGTCTAACTCAGAGAAGAGAATTTCTATGTCATCAGGACAAACCAGCTCTGTGTGCCCACATTGGGTCACCCCACCCACCTACCACTAGAGATGGGAACTTGATAGATGGATGATATTTCTGTCAGGATTCTCTGTGAACACACAGACTATTTTCACTTCAATGTAAAGGAGGATATTTTGTTTGTGTGGAAAGGGACAGGAAACAAAAACAAGCAGAAAGGAAATGTTTATCCATTGGTTTATTCTCCACCTGCCTACAATAGCCATGGTTGGCTGAGCTGAAGCTGGCAGCCAGGAAATCACTCCATTCTCCCAAATAGGTGAGAGGGAACCACACAGTTGAGCAATCACCTTCTGCCTCTCAGGGTCTGCATTAGCAATAAGTTGGAGGCAGGAGCTTGAGTGAAGCCTCAAATCTAGACATGCCAGTATGGACACTTCTATGGTATTTAAGGGGAGACAGTCTGAGTTTATGTCAATGTCACAATCCTCCTACAACCCCATCCACCAACCATGGCAACCTTTGATGATTCTCTCCTGAACTATGAACCACCACATTGATGCTATTCACTCACCAGAACCACCAAAATATGCTTCCTTGATTATCTCAGGTCTTCATAATTACCTCTTGCACTCTACTACCCCAATGAACTCCACAGCCACAGGAAACCAAAATGAAGAGTGTCCTTGGTATTCTTTATCATGAGATGGGTCTTTAGAGATTTCGTAGCATTTATGGGGTTCCTTCCTGCCCTGGCTATGGCTTGTTACAGCCCATTCAACATCCCCTGTGCTTATAAACAGCTTTGGTGCAGAGGCATAAGAACGTCTCATCCTAGTGTTCCCAGGTTGGTCAACTGTACTAGGGTCAGAGACACCAGGATTTGGAGTGAAAAGGTGGGCATAGCAGCCAGGTCAGTGGGCACAGGCTAGGGGGATTCACTTTTCTGGTGTCTAACAGGGCTGAGGGATGACTGAGGACAGAAAGTCTTAAGTTGCTTTCCCTTGATTCTGTAGTAGGATGATATTTCTACACAGCTATCAATAGCTAGTGCAAATTAGAGAGGATGTGGTGTTGGGAAAGAGAGCATGACAAAATCTGGGGTGGCCAAGGTGGATGCTGCCCATGAGGATATTGAAAGGAGTGGGAGAGAACACGAAGGTCAGACCCCTGTTTTTGAAAAGTAAAAGTAAGCAGGAGACATTTGGCCAGCACTGAGGCGTCTCACTATGATGTAGCTTTTGACTTGAGATCCTCATGTTCCTGTATTCTTTTTTTTTTTTGAACCTATATATTTTATTCTATTATGATATCTTTCATACCTATGCATTATGAAGTCAACAGAAATATAATCGCATTCCCATTTGATCTATATGCAATCAGAAGCCACATACACACTTTTTTCTTGTATTAATGCCTTTTTTTACTTTCATAAATGGATATTTAGGGATTTCATACACTTTGTAAAACCATGTCTACTGGGACTGGCATTGTGGCATAGTAGGTTAAGCCTCTACCTGCAATGCCAGCATCCCATACAGGCACTGGTTCGAGTCCTAGCTGCTCCACTTCTGATCCAGCTCTCTGCTATGGCCTGAGAAAGCAGTAGAAGATGGCACAAGTGCTTGGACTCCTGCACCCATGCAAGAGACCCAGAAGGAGTACCCGGCTCCTGATTGGCTCAGCTCCAGCCATTGCAGCCATTTGGGGAGTGAACCAGCATATGAAATACCTCTCTGTCTCTCCCTCTCTCTGTAACTTTGCCTCTCAAATAAGTAAATAAATCTTTTTTAAAAATGTCTCCTTTGAGGCAAAATTTTACAATTATAATCAAAGGCAGAACTGCCTTTTTGAAACATACCTTATTTATTAATATAGTAACACATATCTAATTCTTTGAATACTGAGCTGGAGGGGACTCTTCTTTCACAATGGAAAAATCAAGTATATAATATGCAGTGTGTTCAAACATATACACTGAAGAACCCTGCAAAAATTTACTCAAAAATCCAGTTTGCTAAATAATTTCTTGGGAGAGCTACTGAGAAATAAAGTATCCTCATGATACAATCAGGAATCTCTTCAGAATTCATTCTTATAAAAGCAGTTTTAATTATGTCGATCCAAGGAACTGCAATGATGGCAGATTGGGTAGTGGCAGAGTTTTAGTTTCCCTAAATGTTGTCTCACCTGACTTAGGAGGGCTTGGGAACACCCAAGAGTTATCTTCTACCGTTAGGAATAGATCTCTCATTATCTATCCATGATTGGAGAACTGCTTTTTTTTTTTTTTTTTTTTTTTTTTTGATAAAATCTTTATATCTCCTGGTAAAGGGGAAGAAGTAGTGTGAAAACAGCTTTGCTATTTGGTGATAGAGAGACATGTCTTTTATAAGATGCAGTAAAATTTGTCAAGTGGAGTTTTGTGCTCTTTCCCAAGGTCTTCAGCGCAGGTTAGTGGGGCACAGGCTTTCTTGAATGCAGTTGGCATTTTCAGTTTTCTTAGCCGTTCAGCTTGTACTTGAGTCATCAGATGTAAGTCAGACATTTCCCTCTTCAGTTCCCAGTACACTGTTGCATATTATCCCTTGAAATGCTTGCTCTTCGAAGAGCACTGTTCTTCAGGTTGTCTTCCTCGGATGGATCCATTTGTTTGGCCTTTTGTAGCTCTATTTTGAGATCGCTACATTCTTTCCTCACCAATTCCAGCTCTTTTTCTAAACCATGGATCATCAGGTCACAGTTCAACTTTTCCAATTCCCAGTTCCTTAAAGGAGGATTTGAATTTCTCATCACCTACTGAGTTCCTACTTCTGTTCTTAGCTGAAGGCGTTTTACTTCTTTAGACTGTAGCTGTTCATTCAATGCTTTCAGAGGTTCAGAGTTGTCTTGGTTCATTTTATCCAGCGTGTTCTTCAAAATTTCTCTATCAATGTAAACCTCTCGATATGCATGATAAGCCTTATTTAGTTGTTCTCGTCCCACAGAATACGTCTCTTCATCTAACTGAGTGCCTATAAGCTTTTCTTCCAAAAACCTTACTCGCTTCTTTAAGAACGAGTTCTCCTTCTCTGACTCTTTAAGGCGTTTTTTGATATCCTCATACGCAATGACAAGGGCGAAGCGTGAAGCGACAGATTCATCCCCCGAATATACTGAGACTGGAATCACTGGATCTCTCTCATGAGCTTTCTCCTGATTCAGAATGCAGATATCATCGTCTACGAGCGCATCCATGACAGCCTGCGGCGGCCCAGGTGAGGCCACCGGGCTTCCTTTACCCAGGGTCGCCAAGGGCCACCAGGGCTCACGCTTTCCTGGAAGACCAGGCCGCTTCTCCAGCAAAGCCAACTGCTGTGGGTGCGCCGTGGAGGAACGCTCATGTCTTTAGCTGCCGCTGCTCCATACCCTCCGCGGACCCGCCCTTTGGCAGGAGCCCTGGAGCTTCTGGAAGGAGCGGCGAGCGGGGCAGGAGCCGCCAGCTAAGGCCCGTTACCCAGCAACACCCGCGTGCGAGACCCGGCCCACAGGCGCTGACTGGCCTCGTCAGAGCACCAGCAACCCTCGCGCGGGGCCTGCCCGCCGGTGCTGGCCGGCGTCGTCAGAGTACCCAGCAGCCCTCACGCGGGGCCTGCCTGGCGGCGCTTGCCGGCCCCGTCACAGTACCCAGCAACCTTCGCGCGGGGCCTGCCCGCCGGTGCTGGCCGGCCCCGTCAGAGTACCCAGCAGCCATTGCGCAGGTCCTGCCCGCCGGTGCTGGCCAGCGTCGTCAGAGTACCCAGCAACCCTCGCGCGGGGCCTGCCCGCCGGTGCTGGCCGGCTCGTCAGAGCACCCAGCAGCCCTCGTGCGGGGCCTGCCCGCCGGTGCTGGTCGGCCTCATCAGAGTACCCAGCGACCCGTGTGTCGACCTGGCCAGCCCGTGTTGGCTGGCCTCGTGAGAGTACCCAGCAACCCGTGCGCTGGACGGGCCAGCCCGTGTGGTCCGGCCTCGTCATCTTCTACTATTGCTTTCCCAGGTGCGTTTGCAGGGAGCTGCATCAGAAGTGGAGTAGGCAGGACTTGAACCAGTGCCCATATGGGATGTCAGCGCTGCAGGCCAGGGCTTTAACCTGCTGTGTCACAGTGCTGGCACGTTATGTATTTTATTTTATTTAGTTAATCTTACTCCTGGCTGTGTAGGATAATACACATTTTTTGCTTTTGTTAACAAAGCTGAAATGAATAACGGTACACAAATCCTGGTTTACATTGGCTCACTTTTTTATACTATAGTTACCTGAAAAATGGAATTACTGACATATTTCTAGACAGCTTTAAAAAAATTTTATTTATTTGAAAGTCAGAGTTACACAGAGCGAGAAGGCAAGGCAGAGAGAGAGAGAGAGAGAGAGAGAGAGAGAGAGAAAGGTCTTCCATCCAATGGTTCACTCCCCAATTGGCCGCAACGGCCAGAGCTGGGCCAATCCAAAGCCAGGAGCTTTTTCTGGGTCTCCCACATGGGTGCAGGGGCCCGAGCACTTGCACTAACTTCTACTGCTATCCCAAGCCACAGCAGAGAGCTGGATGGGAAGTGGAGCAGCTGGGTCTCGAGCCAGTGCCATATAGGATGCCGGCACTGCAGGCCAAGGTGTTAACCCACTGCGCCACAGCAGCAGCCCCTAGACAGCTTTCTGGCAGTATAATTAATACATACTCCCACTAATAACATATGAAAATGCTCATTTTACTGTTCCCTTACCAACAAACTGATTATGTTTGAAAAACATTGCTATCATTTGGGGGCCTGAAACATGTGTTGAACAGATTAGTAGGTGGCTCCACATCTTTGTTATGCTATCCAGGAGCACTATGAGGGGTTAACTATCTATTAGCCCAAGATTAGATGAAGTAGGTAGAATATTTACTTCTTACTCTTACAAACAGCAAACTATTCCAACCCACTTTTCTTGATTGAACTACTTAAAATATAAAATCTTAATGAAACTGAAGGATTTCAATTGACTGCTAGGCCTTAAGGAAAAGAATGAGATTGAAATAAATTTCTTAGACATTGATCAAAAGTAGTATTACTCAACAGCTAATGAGCAACCCATTTTAAATGTATAGTCATCAAATGTTGATCAAAGGTTAACAAACCTCAGTCACCTAGGAAGAATATGTTTAAGGACCCATTGTACAACATGGTGACAATAATTATTAAAAATGTATTCTATGGAAAATATTGTGATTATATTCTTAGTATTCTTATCATAATCAGTGATAGGGATGTGATGTAGTGACTATGATTATCTGAATGTAGCCATTCCACAATGTATACTTACTTTCAAACATCATTTTAATATGGCAAATATGTCCAATTTTGTCAATTTAACAAAAAATTTAATAAAAGACAAACTTAAAAAGGTAGATAGGCATTTTGAAGGGATGAAAAGTTATATACCATAATAACACTAATCCAAATAAATCTGGACTAGCTATATCCATTTCAGGCTTAGACTTTAAGGGAAATTACATGGGATGTAGTGATTCAAGCAGTTCTCCAAATACCTGGTAATTCTTAATAGGTATGCACCTAAACAGGGTAGCAAATTACATGAGTCACAAACACATACTACTGCAAGGAGAAATACACATATACCAGCAGTAATCAGTATAAGTATCACAGCATAAATATAAAAATAGGAATAATACATATTTAATAATGTATAATCACAGATATGCTAGTTAAAACTAGATAGAATAAATTAGATCATTTAAAATGTTAGCAAATAACACATTAACAATCATGAATAAATGGTCAAATGGTTAATCTATCTAGTCTATAAACACTTCATACTATATTTGAATTGATCCACAACTTATAACCCAGCATTTTTTGAATTATTTAAAAATATTTACCATTGGGGCCGGTGCTATAGTGCAGCGGGTTAAGCTGCCGTCTGCAGCACCCACATCCCACATGAACACCAATTCGAGTCCTGACTGCTCCACTTCCAATCCAGCTCTCTGCTATGGCCTGGGAAAGCAGTAGAAGATGGCCCAAGTCCTTGGGCCCCTGCACCCACGTGGGAGACCCAGAAGAAGCTCCTGGCTTCGGATTGGCCCAGCTCTGGCCGTTGCGGCCAACTGGGGAGAGAACCGCTGGATGGAAGACTTCTCTCTCTTTGCCTCTCCTTCTCTCTCTCTGTGTAACTCTTTCAAGTAAAATAAATAAATCTTAAAAAAAAAAAAAAAAAGAGGCCTCCCTGCACATTTACACTCAGGTGTTTCAGAAGCTATTTTAGTCCCCAAGTACTGCTTTGTTCTTTTTTCTTTTCTTTTTTTTTTTTTTTTTAAAGATTTATTTGAAAGAGTTACAGAGAGAGGTTGAGACAGAGAGAGAGGTCTTCTAACCGCTGGTTCACTCCACAACTGGCTGCAAAAGCCAGAGCTGTGCTGATCCAAAGCCAGGAGCTTTCTCCAGGTCTCCCACGTGGGTGCAGGGGCCCAGGCACTTGGGCCATCTTCTACTGCTTTCTCAGGCCATCAGTAGAGAGCTGGATCAGAAGTGAACAGCCGGGTCTTGAACTGGCACCCATATGGGATGCCGGCACCCCAGGCCAGAGCACTAACCCGCTGAGACACAGCACCAGCCCCACTTTGTTCTTTAGACAAGCATATCTGTGTGTGTATATATTCATATCCAAACACTTAGTGTATATGTGCAGCTGCTTTTTGGTTACTTGTAGATTACAAAACACACTTCAAGTCCCAGATGCCCTACTTCTGATCCAGCTCCCTGTTAATGTGCCTGGGAAGGCACTGGAAGTGGGTCAATTACCTGGACCTCTGCCACCCATGCAGGAGACCCAGCTGGAGTTCCTGACTCCTGGCTGCAACCCAGCCCAGCCCTGACTATTGTGGCCATTTGGGGATTGAACCAGCTGATGGAAGATCTTTCTGTCTCTCCCTCTCTATAAGCCTGCCTTTCAAATTAAAAAATATCTATTTTTTTTAAATCTGTATACTGTTTTCCAACTCAGTAGCCCTGTAAGGTATGGCAAGGATCATTTGCCACTTCCCATTTTATATAAGAGTATCTGGGGCTCACCAACGTAGCTGAACAGAGGAGTTAGATTGTACTTGTGACCCCAAGCCATATCCCTAGAAGAGCAAACGGGGGGACTTGCTCACAGCAGCTCTGGCATAAAAGTTGACTGACAGCTTGTCCGGTCCTTAGTGGAAGAAAAGGGGTGGCAACCCCCTACCATGCTGACTGCAGTGCCATCTAGACTTGGGGAAGCAAACTGAAGGCAAAGATATAGTCAGGAAAGGGGGAAATCCCCATCGGCAAAAGTGCCTGGGAACTCCACCTCACTGATGGACCTAGAGGCAAAGGCAGAGGAAGCACCAGTGGATGGAACACACGCGTGGTTGTCTACAAAGACTGATTCACCAAAGGCTCATGCCTGCTCACAAGGCCTGGAAGTGTCCCGGCTGACCTCAGCCAGGGGCGCCAAAACCATCCAGGCTGGGAATGCTAGAGCGTTGGGAAAGTAGGACAAGTTGTCCGTGTTGAAGGTGCCCGGTGTCAAGTCCATCAGAGGCTCTGCCAGTGGACAGGGTCACACAGATGCAGTCTTCCCAGGTGGAGAGGCCAAGAGGTGTCTTGCATCACAAGGGTGAAGGCCGCCTGTGCAGACCAGCAGAAACAGCAGAGAATGAGAGACGGGGAAGAAAGCCACAGAGAGAAGGGAAGTCCCGAGTGGTTGGGCCTCCATGTTTCTGGCTTACAGACACCACAGGCTTCAGGATCCAGTGGGCAGCAGTAACAGGGGATTCCCATTCAGAAAACATCAACCCACAACTTCCTGGGATCCACACATAGCTGGCTCTGGTCTAGACCCATTCTAGGTGAAACCCATGGGGCTGGCGTTGTGGTGTGATGGGGTAAGACGCCGCCTGCAATGCCAGCATCCCATGTGGGTACCAGTTCGAGTCCTGGCTGCTCCACTTCCTATCCAGCTCCCTGTTAATGCACCTGGGAAACAGTGGAAGATGGCCCATATCCTGGGGGCCCTGAACCCATGTGGTAGACCCAGATGAAGCTCCTGGCTTCATCATGGCCCAGACCTGGCCGTTGTGGCCATCTGGAGAGTGAACCAGCAGATACAAGATCTCTCTCTCTGTCTCTCCCTCTCTCTTTATAACTCTGCCTTTCAAATAAATAAATAAAATAAATCTTTAAAAAAATGACTGTTACTAATGGGGAGATGAATGGACATCATCAGACGGCTTCCTCATTTGACATCTTGGAGACATCAATGTTGAATGACCAGATTATGTACCTCATTTTTTTTTTAAAAAAAAAACAATTCTCTCTCCCAGATGTTACATGACTTGCCTAGCAAGTCCAGGAGCACAGGGAATGACCTGCCAAGTTGACACATCCTATTCTCGGCCGTCTCCCAGTCAGATGAACATCCATGCAATACGCTTCTTCAGCAGGTGGGCCGACGGCTGTCTCTAGGCAGCTCTTCACACAGTAGCAGGACACGAGCACTGCCGTGGGAAACACACTGCAGAAAAGAACAAAAACAACGCACCAGGGCGGAGAGGCGGCGGCACGCTGCCACCACAGCACGCCCCAATCCAGGAGCACCTTTCTATTTTGACTCCCTGATGGCTTTACCCTGTTCACTGAGCTTCAAAAATCAGTCATCTGGTAGGGGCTGGCGCTGCAGCGTAGTGGGCTAAGCTTCCACCTGTGGTGCTGGCATCCACTATGGGTGCCGGTTCAAATCCTGGCTGTTCCACTTCCATTCCAGCTCTCTGCTATGGCCTGGGAAAGCAGTGGAAGATGGCCCAAGTGCTTGGGGCCCTGCTCCCACGTGGGAGACGTGGAAGAAGCTCCTGGCTTCAGAGAGGCCCAACTCCAGCCGTTGTGGCCATTTGGGGAGTGAACAAGCAGATGGAAGACCTCTCTCTCTCTCTCTCTCTGTTACCTTTGTCTCTGAAATAAATAAATCTTTTCATTAGCCATCTGGTGACAGCACCAAGCACTCTAACAGAACATGTGAATCACTCAAACCTGCTTATTCAGGTGAAAACTTTGCTATACCAAAAATCAGTCAGTGGGGCGGGCGCTGTGGCACAGCAGGTAAAGCCCCCATCTGCAGTGCCGGCACCCCACATGGGCACTGGTTCCAGTCCCGGCTGCTGCACTTCTGATCCAGCTCTCTGCTATGGCCTGGGAAAGCAGTAGAAGATGGCCCAAGTGTTTAGGCCCCTGCACCTAAGTGGGAGACAGGGAAAAAGCTCCTGGCTCCGGATCGGCGCAGCTCCAGCTGCTGCGGCCATTTGCAGAGTGAACCAGTGGATGAAGAGTTTGCTCGTTCTCTCTGCAACTCTGCCTTTCAAGTGAATAAATAAATTAAAAAAAAAAAAAAAAAAGGAAGAGAGAGAAAGAAAATCAGTCAGCAATAGCTTATCCGATGTAAGTGTCTGTGGGATGAGCCAGGCACTTTTCTCTTTTCCCTCTTTCTTACCTCTTCATGATGGCAGGGACATTCTCTCCCCTTAGGTAGAAAAAAAAAGCGGCTAAAGGCAGAAACGGTAGGGCAGCCAGGGCTTTCTGAGAACCACCGCCTATGCAATTAACACAACTAGTCAGCGGAAGTTAATCTGATGCCGGCAGCTGTAATGGCTGTATGAGCAGTCCTACAGCTGGCCACTATCCAGTCAATATGTAACCAAATGTACTGAAGAAACATAAACGAAGGCCAAACTTTAGAGTTGTTTGTAGAGCCCAGATTCTGGAGAAAGTCCCCTCTGGGTCTGCCGAGCATCCACCCATCAATGAATGAATGAAGCTGTTTTCCTGTTAAGAGCCTCGCTATCCCGCCCCTCCATCAGTCTCCTGCTACATCTACATGTCACGCCAACAACTTGTCCAGAGGCTTCCGCAGACCACAGTCCTTGTGCAAATCTGATGTTAATGCGCCCCCAATGCTAAAAATGTCTTGGGCTTTGGCACCGAACAGAAAATAAGAAAACTCGGCGACCCCCTTACTTCCAGCTGCAGGGGCTGTAGGACAACCAGCGGGGAGTGGCACTGCGGGGGCTGTGAAGAACAGGGGGGAAAGTCAGCGGAGCCCGCGGAGCCCCAGCCGCCCCGAGTGCCCGTGGGAACCCCACCTTGCGGGCTGTGCGCGTGCGGAGTGGGGGCAGCGAGGCTGAGCCATCTGCCCGCCGCCCCGGGCTCCTTGCTGGGGGCCACCAGCCCCGCTCTGCCGCGGGAACCGCCGCAGGGTTGACCAGGAAGCCCGGCCAGAGGGCATTCTCTCCACGAAGCCAAAGTGGGACCGGGGCTCGATGAAAATATGGACGAGGGGAGTCCCGCTGCCTTCCTCCGCCGTCCTCTCGCCTGCCAGGCTCCCCCAGAACAAAATGCATGACGGAAAGTTGGAGGGAAGCAGCGCACGGGGCCCGCGGGGCGCCGGGAGGCTGGAAGGCTGCGGTCGGAGCCGCCACAGCCCGGATCGGGGCGCCGGCTCGCTGGGCAGCGCACCCAGAGCCGGGTCCCCGAGCCGCCAGCCGCCCTCGCACCCGCGTCCACGCCCCTCCCTGGTCTCCGCACTTGCCGGGGGAATTGGCGGGGAGCCCGGCGGCGCGCTCCAGGACACGCAGGTGCAGCAAGGCGGAGCGTGAGGGGCAGGCAAAGTCCCCGGCGCGTGGGGGTGGCCTCGGACCCAGCGACAGCAGCGGAAGGAGAAGCAGCGGGGCCGGCCGGGTGTTGCGCTCGCAAACTGCCTGGAATGGAAGGTGTACAGCAAAAGACCGCCGCAAGCACGTGTGGAGCAATAGCCCCGGCTCTGAACACTGCGCGAACTTCCGCTGCCCCGGGACGCGGAGCCACCAGCGCGCAGGCGCGCTCCGACGTGCACCCACGCACTAGGCGCCGAGGAACTCTGGGAAATGGAGTCCAGACCCAGCACAAGCCTAGCGAGCTGGCCGGTGCTCCCTAAGGGTTTGAAGGAGTTTGGGAGCAATGGAATGGAAACTAAGGGAGTTTGCCTTTGTTTACATCCCTCCTCTCCTGCCCCTCCCCAATCTCAAGGCTGGGCTGCTGCTCTGCTTCTTTTCTTGAACTATACAGATTTACTTATTTAACTATTTTTCTATTCTTCCTCCACCCTCTCTCTTTGAGGAGAGACATCTGGTCTTATTCACCACTGAATCCCTTGGCAGAGGGACTCTGAGTATATGGTGACTCACTGAGCAAACAGGGTTCCTGTCCAGGTATCATCACCAGGTCTACCTACAAGAATGGTGGGATAGGCAGGTGCATCTCCACTCTGCTGGCACTGAGGTAAGTGACGTCTGTCCTCACAGCTGTCCATTTCATCATTCGTCCCCCAACATGTGTGGCATGCCTACACTTTTTCTATGTAAGTTATGAACACTTATTTTAGGTTTTAGGTCTCAATTGAATTCAGAACCCAAACATGTGATCCCTCTCCTCAGAGTAGCTGGAGCCTCCATGTTGGGATGGTTGATGGAGCCAAGAGGAGGCACATTGCACCATGCCCAGACTTAGCTTGAAGTCCCTGATACCCACAGTGCCCCAGCCTTATGAAGGGAAAGAAACAAAATTCACATCCATGCGGCTGAATGAACGTAAACGCAGCTAGTCCTTGGCAAGTTTGCTTTGCTTGTTGAAATTTGTTTTGTGGTTTGTTTTGTTTTTGTTTTTGTTTTTTGTTTTACATTTTCTTTTGCTACCCAGTTTAGGCAACATTTGTGAACTGCCAACAACACGTTAAACATGTTTCAATACATTAAATATCTTGAAAGACTATTTAATTCCTTAAGATTCTAAAAGCATGGGGGTGCAGCATTGTGACACAAGAAGTTAAGCCACTGCCTCGGATGCTGGTTCAAGCCCCAGGTGCTCCACTTCTGATCCAGTTCCCTGCTAATGCACCTGGGAAAGCAGTGGAAGATGGCCCACGTGCTTGGGTCCCTGCACCTGCGTGGGAAACCAGGAAGAAACTCCTGGCTCCCAGCCTCTGTCTATGTATCTGCCTCTCTCTGTATCTCTACCTCTCTCTAACTCAGCCTTTCAAATAAATAAACAAATCCCAAAAGCAAAAGAACCTAAAAGCAGACCAAAAGTGTTTTGCTGTGAATATTCACTGTGAAGTAGGCATTTGGGTCATTGTCATTTAAAAAAAAAAAAAAAGAATACAGTGATGGAAGGGTAATGAATGTAGCAGTTTATACACTCTGTGGAGGGTCACCTTCTCTCCATTAAAAGTCCATCAAAGGGGGCCTGTGCTGTGGCACAGTAGGTTAAGCCTCTGCCTGCAGCTCCAGCATGCCATATGGGTGCCGGTTCGAGTCCCGGCTGCTCCTCTTCCAATCCAGCTCTCTGCTGATGTCCTGGGAAAGCATTAAGTGATGTCAACTAATTTGAAGAGAACTAGAAACTTCAGAAAACACTAAGGAAATTTTCACTCTTCAATCTGGAGGCTCAGCCACGCCCACTGCACCCCTTGTAGAAGTTCCATCGTATTCACACTCATTTGTTTCTTAGAGGTTAAGACCGGGAGAGTCTTTCCAGGCACAAAGCAGCAGGTAAGATATTTCTGGAAGACGGCAGAGTTTATGAAGATGCCAGGATTTGGTGATGCTGCCGGTTAGCAGCAGCGGGTGTGTTGCTATTTCAAGATTCTGATTCAACTCAGGAAGAAGAACAGCAACCAAACCTTCGAGATTTGGGAGGGGGAAGAGGGGTGTTAGCAAAAGCACATGCGTTCAGTTTCCATTCTACCTCCACCTGCTGAGTCTGCCAAGCCCCTCAGGGAGGGGCAGCAGGTCTGTTCTCTAGGACCCTGCTGGGTCTGGACTCCACTTCCCAGAGGCCCTAGGTGACCTGGTCTATCCCTGGCTCCCAGTGCCTGTGTGTGTGTGTGGGTGTTTGTGTGTGCGCGCGCGCGCCCAAGAGTTTGGCGGCAGGCGCCCGGGACCGCAAGAGGTTCTTTGAGAAGAGGCAGCTCTGCACCTGCAAGCCCAGGGCAGTGCGCGAGCAGACAACCCGGCCGGCCGCCCCCACCTCTGCTTCTCCTTCCGCTTCCGCCGCCTCTGCAGCCACAGGTGCCACGTGCCAAGGACTTGTCCGGCCCCAAACGTTCCACCTGGCTCCGGGCAGTCCTGGGGTGGGATGGATTTCCACCGCAAGTACAGAGACTTGAGAGGGGCGTGGGTGCGCGTCCCTGTGGGAGAGGGCTGGGCTGGGGGACCCGGCTCGCTCTCGGGGTGCGCTGCGCAGCGAGCTGGATGGCTCCCGCCAAGCAAGGGGCAGGAGCTGAGACCCCGGCTTTCGCGTCTGCAAGCGCCGCCTCCCAGTCTCGCCGCGACCGGCGCGTCCCCCTCTGAACCACCTCGCTCAGCCTTTCCTTGATGCGTTTCGCTTAGCGGATACAAGGCGAGGGGACCTGGACAAGCGGAGGAGGCGAGAGGACAGCGAAGGAAAGCAGCGGGATGCCGGTGGTCCCAACTTTTAAGAAGCTCCCCGGTTCCCATTGTGGCTTGGTGGCCAGGACGCACTTCGATTGGGGCTTCCAGGTGGATCCCGTGCCGGTCTTGGGATGGCCATCGGCGGGGTAGCGAGGATCAGACAAGGATGTGCCTGCTGCGGGTGGGGGGATCCGAGGGAGGGGGTCCCCGTCTGCATACCTGGCAGCTGCACCCTTTCTCTTAGCAGGAGCAGCGGGGAGGGTGTGCGGTAGCCCTGTGCGTGGACCGCCTCCGACGATGTATGTGGCTGCTTTTCCATTCTATCTTCCTGTCGCAGGTATCACTGTTATTACCTGCCACTAATCCCTTTGCAAAGTGAAGACGTGAAGTGAAGTGAATGCAAGTCTGGTTGCTTGGGGCGATGATAAGTGGAGCTATTTCATGCCGCGCATGGCTAAGCTGTGGCAGGAGAGTGGCCGTGCCCTTCGCCCCACCCGTGCAGTCACTCCAGTGCTGCACTCGGCTAATTGTATTACAATCCATATTGTTTCAGTTAAGAGGGCCACTGAGGTTTCTTATTTTGGGCTCTGTGTTGAAGACCAGGCCTTTTTTTTATTTTTAAGGATTTATTTATTTGAAAGATTCACAGAGAGAAAGAGACAGAGAGAGAGAGAGAGAGAGAGAGAGAGAGAGAGGTCTTCCATCTGCTGGTTCACTCCCCAAATGGCCGCAATGGCCAGAGCTGGGCCAGGCTGGAGCCAGGAGCCAGAAGACCCAGAAGAAGCTCCCTCATGGGTTCAGGGGCCCAAGGACCTGGTCCATTTCCTGCTGCTTTCCCAAGCACATTACCAGGGAGATGGATTGGAAGGGGAGCAGCCAGGACTCGAACCAGTGCTCATATTGGATGCTGGCATTGCAGGTGGCAGCTGAACCCACCACACCACAACAGCAGTCCTGAGCAATGACTTTTTAATTTGATGATTTTATGTGGCCTGTGAATGAGGTCATAAATATGCAAATGTCTCCTTGGCCCTGCAAAATGTTCATGGCAAACCCAAAGGCAATTTACAAATGTGTTCAAGGGAATGAGTAAGTACAATTACTAAACCTCTGGAAGACAGACACTTGTGGAGAACACAGGCCTAAGACACCATACACTTAATTTTTTTTAAAGATTTATTTATTTATTTGAAAGTCAGAGTTACACAGAGAGAGAAGGAGAGGCAGAGAGAGGTCTTCCATTGCTGGTTCACTCCCCAAATGGCCACAATGGCCAGAGCTGCACCGATCCAAAGCCAGGAGCCAGGAGCTTCTTCCGGGTCTCCCACGTGGGTGCAGGGTCCCAAGCACTTGGGCCATCTTCTACTGCTTTCCCAGGTGATAGCAGAGAGCTGGATTGGAAGTGGAACAGCCAGGATTCGAACCGGCGCCCATATGGGATGGCTGCTGGCACTGCAGGTGGTGGCTTTACCTGCTATGCCACAGCGCCAGCCCCCGCGTTAAACTATTGTCAGAGATGCCAGGCATTGCATTGAAAGGGCTTTGTTCTTTCTCAGAAGAAGAGGAATAGGAATCCTGTGTGATGAGAGAGGGCTGTGCATGAAAAGTAATGCATTTGTTGGCTCACGTATGAGCTATTTCTGAAAACGGGTGTCTTAGATGACACGGGAAGATGTGTGTTGATGTCTGTGCCAGTATGTATGAGGTGTCCATGGGTACAATTGGTGCCAACTCCCATGTACAGATGTTCCCTGTGCAGACGAGCGTGATGTGGGGATTCCTCCGTGTCTGGACCTTGTCTGGGGAGATGAAGAGAGGATTCATGGGTCAGGGAACCACACAGCTGGAAACTGGGCTCTGAATATCAGGCCCAGCACAGAGACCCCCACCTGTTCTCCTGGGCGACTTGGGCCTCGTAAAACCCACTTTCTTCAGAAATACTGTATTGGAAGGTTTGAGAATTTGCCTCTTTGCTTGGCTAAGGCATGCTTCACCTGGAATGTGTGCAGACCAAAGCCAGCTGTGTGTAGATCCCAGACGCTGTCTGTGGGTTTTCCTGAGTGACAGTGCTGTGCTGCTACTGCCCACTGGCTCCTAAGGCCTGTGATGTTTCTCACCTGAACATCTGGAAGCCAGAAAGATGGCGGCTCAGCCACTTGAGGTTCCCCCCTTTTTTTTCTGCCCCTCCATTCTCTTTCTCATTACCATTTCTGTTTATCTGCAAAGGGAATGACTCCCCGGGAATATTCAATGCTTTTGATTCAAGAGGCCTCTCAGCACCTTTAAAATGGATAACTTGTCCTTCTTTCCCAACGCTTTGGCATCCTCAGCCCTGATGGTTTTGACATCCATGACTGTGGGCTATGACATCCATGACAAGGACTGTGATGCCCTTGTCAGCAGCTATGAGCCCACAGTGTGTGTATCTGTCTGTGTAGACTGGGATGTGCATATGCCGTTCAAACCGGTGGTTCCTACACCTACGCCTCTCTGTTCCATCTGCAAGGTGGGGTGGCGGGCACTTTTGCCACTTGTGATTTCCTACTTTTTAAGTATGTGTCTGCCCTGAGTTTGCCCCCCCCACAAGCACTTGGGCCACCAGCTGCTGCTTCCCCAAGCGCATTAGCAGGCAGCTGGATTGGAAGCGGAACAGCCGGGACTCCTGCAGGCACCTATATGGGATGTCGATGCAGCAGGCGGAGACTTACCCTTCTATGCCACAGCGCCGGCCCCTTTGTTCTCTTCTCTTTATGATGATGGGAACAATCACAGGGACACTGCAGCTCCTTGCGCCATCAGGCTGTCTCCTTGAACGAGACACTGTGAAACTTCGCTGTGCTGAAAGGCAGCTGCCTAAGCCCAGTGTACCTTGAATTTGACC